GCAGAGCTCAGCATTGCTCCCTGTAAGGAGCTGCAGCCACCGTGAGCCTCCCCTCAGCTCCTCTGCTCTGGGCTGAGCAAATGCAGGGACCTCAGCTGCCCCTCATACGCCTAAGACCTCTAAGATCATAAAGTCCAACCATCAAACCACCACCACCATTGGTTTAGCAGGGAAGATTGCATGTCGAAACCAATGCTCAGCAATAGTTCTTTTCAGAGCTCTCTCGGAGAGCTCATATGCTGCTTTGTGGCAATTAGCTCACTTGAGCAAAAGAGTTGTTCTGCATTTGGTAGGAGTGTTACCTGCTGAGGAGAGAAATCTGCTGCAGAGGCATTTAGATGCTGAACATCTCACTGTGGTTTTCTAAATAGTGAGAGCTGAAAAAAAAACCCTTTTTGAAGCACAGGGGTTGGAAGTCCCTTCAGAATTAACAGGAATTAATTGGGAATAAATAGAAGCTTGTGTCTGACTGGTAGCATGGTATGAACAAGTGAATCCACTGGTTTGGGTTCTGTGACTTGCATGTCCCTATTAAGCAGTTTGTGAAATCTAGCTAAAGGATCATTTAAAATAAAAGTTTTAAAAAGAAGTGCTTGAAAGTTGGTGTTGCCTTGAAAATTAAGCTGGAAAGTTTCTGGAAATCTTAGCTTTTAGGATTCAGACCCTGCAGTAATACCTTCCCTCATTATGTTATGGTAAGAAAAGAACCCTCCTCCTGTTTTAGAACCTTTCCATTGGTGTGTGACTGTGTTGGCTGATGGTGTTGCTGTCTGATATCTAACTTCCCCTTCTTGTTTCATCTTTTAGCTATAAAAGGTTTTTTAAATGGATTGAAGTACATCAGTATCATTCTGCCAAGTGTAACATGCTGCATTTCCCACTCTTGGACCCAAAGTAATAATAAAATCTCTGTCTTTGTTCCAGAATGTACAGAAAGGCCACTGCTTCTAATAGAATATATTATTCTGGGCACAGCTGCTATAAAATACATAGGTTCAACACAGTTGCATACATGGTTTGTTTTTAAATCACTTTTGTGCCTCTTGCACTGTGATCAGTTATTGGCGTTGCTTATTCGCTTGTGCAGTCATGCTGGTCTGGAATACTCCTCTGCAGTGAGGTGCCCAGGAGGGAGGTGCAGTGGGAGGGTGCAGTGATCCCAGCAATGCAGTGCTGTTCTTTTTGGTAATTCAGCTCTTTGACCTGCAGTGCTGCATGCGCGGTTGGAGCCGGGAGGTTCTGTGTAGCTGTATTGCTTCGAGGTCCTGAAGTCTGTCTGCTTTGGGCATGTGGAGCTGAAACATAACGGGAGGGGAAGGTCGGTAGAGGAAAGGGAATGGAGACAGGGAAGCAGCAGTTTCCGGCCTGAAAGGAAGAGGCTTTAACAGAAGTGAAACAGTCTTTGTATCTTCACTTCTTTTAAAAGGCAACACTATGAGACTTAGGATCTGCACGTCTTGGGCAGCTGTTGTTTATCCTCGGGATACGAAAGGCAAAAAGTATAATGTCTGAGGTGCTAGCACTGCGTTGTAATGCAAAAACATGACTGTGGAGGTTGCGGTGCTTTGCTGGGTGAGCGGGGAATGATGCTGGGAAGGGCAGAAGCTCAGGACCTACAGACAGTCTTTACTCAACTGCTACCATAAAAAGCTCCAAAAAAAAACCAACAAAAACAAACCCAAAGTGGCCTTCTGAGCAGCTTTGTGGTAGGGAGAAAAGGAAATGTGTTGAGCTTTGTGTTTTCTTTTAAGTCTGGTTAACAACTGAAGATTAATGTAGAAATAAGGGGGGGAAAAAAACAACCCAAGAATGCTAGATGGAAACAAAACTGAGAAAAATATGTTCTGCGCTTGAAGGCTGAGCAGAGTATGGTCTGTAATAGGAAACAGACTGGCACAAAGTGTGGCAGGAAAAAAGTTCGGAGAGAAGCGGAGAACCTGGTGCTCCTCTTTCTGAAGCATCTCCGTACAACAAAAGCTGCCTGGTACGTAATCGTTCCTCTGATATACGTGGCAGAGGCTGTGTGCCTTCTCTGAAGCTGAGTTTGGCTCTGCGCGCTGTAGCCCAGCACTGACAGGCTCTCATGACGTGCTTTTTATTGTTGTTATTACTTACATGAAAAATGTAACTGTGACAAACGGCGCTGTGTGATGCACAGCTACTGCCATGGAAAGTGTAATTGTTGGCGTAACGTGCTTGCAGCAGGCATTTAGCTGCTGTGATAATAGGCACCGTGCAGTCAATAAATGGTATGGCTGCGCTCTGCCTGCTTTTCAGAACGCGCATCTGAATTGAGACAGAAATAGGAACTTGGGTTACACCGGCGGTACAAATGATTCATACAGGTGGCTGGGGAGGACTTTCAGACTCATCAAGCTGTAAGGTGGCATTTGGGTTTTTCTCTTATAGGGGCTTCTCTGGAGATAGTGTGTAGTTGCTGGGGGTGTCTTGCTCATCTGGGCAAATGGCACATGCCTGGTAAGTGCCATCTGTCTCCTTAATGCTGCATGTTTCGAGTTTAGGTCCTGATGTTTGCCAATTTAAAGACATCAGTAATGGCCTGTAATGAGCCTAGCGTCAGAGCTTTGAAATTGAGGCTTCCCAGGCATTGTGGGACCTCTGTTAGGCTGTTCTGAAGGTGCATTTCCAACCAGTAAATAAAAATACAGAGGATTTTTGCTAGGATTTGGCCTTAGATTAAAGAATTATTAACTCAATAGAGCAATTTTGAGTTACTTTTTGACTACTTCTGGAGGTATTATCCAAGTGTGAGCATTGTATATATGCGTGCCTCCATCACCGCCCTTGGTTCCTAAATGTTCAGTGGAAGCAGACATTCCCAAGGCATCCTGCCCTTCCCCATGCTCAGGTCCACGAGCCAGCACTGGGCTGCACCACCTCCACCCACTGCATGGCCGTGGGGCAGCCACGGGACTTCACCCACATCGCCCTGCATATGGGAGAGGCCAACAGAAGGCATTAATGAAAGTTGTCCTAGAGTAGAAATTCCTGCTGTATTTGTCTTTGGTAGTATTGCTGTTGAGCTCTGCTGCAGATCGTGTACTTCATTCAAATCTCATAGGTGATATACCAACCTGCAGAGTTTCCATCGCAGGCTGTTCAGAGTTTGCAGCTGTGTTCCCTATCTTATACGCTCCTTTGACCTGGGAGAACACGCAGTGCTGTAAGATTGTAGCCAGATCAGTTCAGGGAGAGTGAAAGGTATTTTGAACATTTAATGTTTGTTTTCAGGCCTTGGAAACACCCCCAGATCTCCCTTGTCCTGACTCCTGGCAGCATTTGTTGGTTGGTGAGATCAGCGCCAGTAACAGTTAAATTTAATTCCCTTTTTGTAGCTGTGTATAAAGGACAGTGGAATTTCTGGAGGGATGTGTTCTGACCAAGGCACAGCAGTAGGTGGTAATGACGAAGCAGACTTCTCCTTTCGTTCTCCCATGTATCACGCAGTGGCAGAATGGATGGATGGTCTGCATCTGAATGCAGATGTTGTGGCTGTGACCTGATGCTGGCACCAGACAGCATCCATCTGATGTGCTGCTGAAAAGACGTTGATCTGCAGCTCTCTATGGAAAGAAAGGAGGGTGCTGCTAATGCATTAAATCTGAGATCTTTCACACTTTTTTTCCTTGCATATGGGAAAATAGTCCGTTCGTTTTAAAAAGCAGCTCCTTTCTCCAGCATTAGGCCGGGCTGCAAAGTGCATTTGTCATTCATGCCACATTTACAGCAGAGGAAGGACTGGGTTTGTGTCTGTGTAGCCTTTGCTTTGCAGAGGAAGAAGGGGTTGTTCAGGCACATTGCCCTGGGATGCAAGCCTAGCTTTTAAATGTCACTTTAAGATAAGTAAAAGGAGTTCCCTAGAAGCCTTAGAGCAAAAGGAAGATTTGGTCAGAGGGAGCTGGCTCTTAATGGACACGGGACCCTACGCAGGAGCAGCGTGCCTTGGCAGCAGGATCTCGGTTTTATTGAGAGCTGTAATTTGTGCGTGACTGGACATGCAGCTTTTGTTTTCTTCTTTGCGCTCTGATATTTGAAAAGCGATATGTTTTGATGAGTAAAGATGGTTTTTGTCACAGTATCTGTTAGAATATATGCTGAATTGAACAAATAGCTGAGATACTATCAGAGAGCAGGAATAACCTCCGCCATGTGCTGGTGGGAGGAGGTGGCTCAGTGGTGTAGAACTTTTATTTTGCTGTTTGCTTTTCACGGTAAGCAGATAAACATAGCCTGAGCAGATTGCACTGCACTGGCCTAGGAGCAATGTCTGGCGAGGAATTCTATTCAGAGAAACAAATGTATTTTCACTGCTAACACTGTTAAACCATGCACACGTGGTGGTGCTGCTTTGGGATTGTGGTCCTCTGACAGTTTTTTCTTAAAGACTTTACACAGAGGCCGGCCTATCGCAGGAACACAAGGCAATAGGAAAACAGACTCCATGAAGCCAATGTAGTTACATTAGATACTAATTTGATACCAAGGATTCTCTCTTCCTTCCTGTCCTTCCTTCCTTAACACATTTTTCTACTTCCTGTTACTTGCTCTGTTGGGCAGTTGTCTCTTCCTTTCCTAACTTCTGGACAATGTGCTTGCTTGCTGCAGTCCCTCTGCCGCTAGATGCTGCTGTGTGAGTGATTGATAGAATCTTATCTGAAGCTGAATGGATTTAAACTTTTAAGAAAAGGAGGAGTCTTGTTACTGGAGCAGTATTGCTGCCTGTTCTGACACTAATATTTTGAGATGTCTGTCTGAGACAGTTTTAGACTTTATTGGCTCACTTGTATTAGTCAGAAAGGTTGTTAACCTCTTGTGTCCCCAGCAGTATGCTAGTCATTACTTCCAATTAGGCAGGCTTTTCTTTTCATATGTCTATAGAGTTCACGGTGTTGGTAGTGAGGAAAAAAGGCATTGGAATGTAACTCAGTCAAAAAGGTTTTTGCAGAATTTCTCTTCTATCACACCTGTGCCCTTTCATTCGGAGAACAGTGGTGGGGAGGCAAACCATTGTACATTCAGGCATGAGGAATGATCACTGTTTGGAGAGAATTTTTGTCTTTAGTTCACTTAGGCAGTTTTTTTAAGCCCTGTCTTGCTGGTGATGGAACACTTATCTCATTGGGGTTTGCTCTGTTCATTCTACGCAGAAAACTACAAAGAGCTCCATAAAAGTGAATCAAAGTTACCACAAGGAAAAATTTCATTACATGGATTGTGTAAACTCACTGAGACTGAGGTAAAGCTGGAAAGAAATCTACAAGTGAATAAAACAAGAAGTTTGGAATTGGATTTGGGGAATCTGGGCTTGGAAATGCCTCAGGTAAGTCTGGAATCTTATGATCGTAAATACCATTGCTTTCTTATTTAAAAAATGGAAAAAGCATACAAGCAAATTTGACTGGCATCAACAGGGAGAAATTAGGAGAGACTAAACAGTGTTTGGTTTTTAGCGTCCTGGTGGTGTCTGTGGTGGAAGCTGTGGGGCTGCTCTTGGTGCTGCATTTGTTCACGCAGCAAGAATCAGCCAAGCTTTCTCCTGGATGGGGGGAGCTGCCTGGAGAAGCTCCCTTTCTCACTGCAGCAGTTTGCACAGCAGCAACTGAAGGACTTCCTGCAGTACAGTGTTTCTCATTTCCAACCCTCAGGGCCAGTTTGTCTAGAAGAGAAATAGAGGTCTGGAATTGAATGTAGCAGAGTCTTGCTTTGTATCACCTGTTTGCCTAGTCATCCTGCATAGTGTTTGTTTGCAAAGTTCTGCTTTGTTCTTAGGAGAGACAACACTCTTGATTTAATTACACTTTGCTATTGTTACAATCTCAGGTAGAAGCTTTACAAGCTCTGATGGTTCTAAAACCAGCCAACACTGCTCTAGTACACAGTGACTGGTGCTGGGGTGGAAGCCTTGCAAGCAGGCAGTGCCTCTTGGTACTCCCAGGTCTTGCCAGCTCTCCTGCAAATGCTGATGTATCCCTAATCTTGGCAAACACCTACGATTTTCAAACTGACAAAACAGAATGCTAATCTGTAAGGTAAATACCTTCCAGATGCAAGTATAGCACGAGTTCAGACACTTGGATAAAATATCAATACTCATGTTTTATTGAAGTAAAGAATATGCTTTTTTATGATATGCTTCAACATTCCCTGTCAATTTTGTTGTAGCCCAGTGTGAGTGGAATGGACCCTCCTTTTGGAGATGCCTTTCGGAGCCATGTGTTTTCAGAACAGACTCTGATGAGCACAGATCTCTTGGCAAGCAGTTCAGATCCAGACTTCATGTATGAACTGGTAGGCCCACTTTCTGTGTGCACATACCTCCTTCTCCTTGAATAACACTCTGAGTTCATGAAGTAATAAGGGGGTATTTGCTCAGGAACGCTGGGTGGTTATTCATTACTGCTTGCTATGACTGGGGAAGAGCCTAACTGCTTGTTAAAGCTGGCCCTCAGGAGGGGCTTGGTAGACGAGTATCAAATGTAGCTGTGTTGTTATGTGGTGGTGATGGAGACACTTCCTTACAAACCACCTTTTCTTCAAGAGCACTTATGTGCTACTTCACTCAAGTTGTGCATGCGGGGGAAGCAAAATAAAAGTTGACTCATGAGCTGTTCACAATGGCACTTGTTTTTTCCTGTATGGAAAGTGAAAGGTAGCTCACTGTTGTTTGTTGATGTTGTTGATGAGCTTAGAATGAATTTTTCCAGTTTACCTTTACCTCTAGGTAAACTTGAGCAATTTCTATTATTCATGTAACAAAATTTGACCTAGGTTTATGGAAACTAGAACGTGTTGCCTGTGATGTTTTTCATGTTTTAAGTACGTGGGTATTGGTTCTATTCTAGTTTCTAATAACCAGTATAATAGCAGAAAAATAATCGAAGGGTATTTGAGTTGTATCTGTAGCAACCTTTCCCCAGGGATCTGCTGCTGAACCAGGGAAACTGGGCCCCAGTCTGACCTGAACTTCAGAGGAAGTTGTTAGTTGGAAGCTGAGGTATCTTCATATCACTGTCTTACTCTTCACTTGAATTAGGCTTACCACATAAGTTTAAGTAGAGGACAGAGATGATTTGATACTACTTTTCTATCTTAATTTTAACTTGTCTTATGTTGCACAGGACAGAGAAATGGATTACCAGCAAAGCTCCAGGGACAACTTACTTTCAATGGAGGACTGCAAAGACCTTGAGAACTTAGAGTCTTTTACAGACATCCTGGACAAAGAAGCTGCTTTCACCTCAAAGTGGGAGCAGTGGGACACGTACTGTGAAGACTTAACTAAATACACTAAACTAACCAGCTGTGACATTTGGGGAACAAAAGAGGTGGATTATTTGGGCCTTGATGACTTTTCAAGCCCATACCAAGATGAAGAGGTGATAAGCAAAACACCGACTCTGGCTCAGCTTAACAGTGAGGACTCCCAACCTGTTTCAGATTCACTCTATTATCCTGATTCACTCTTTAGTGTAAAACAAAACCCTTTAAATTCTCTGTTACCTGGAAAAAAAATTGCTAGTAGAGCAGCGGCCCCAGTCTGTTCCTCCAAGAACGTTCAGGCTGAGGCTCCTTTGTCGGACTATGTTCAGAAGGCTAGCAAACCCGCGACACAGCCTGCTTCCAGTACACAAATCATGGTGAAGACCAGTGTGTACAATAATGAAAAGGTGAACATTCATGTTGAATGTAAAGACTATGTTAAAAAGGCAAAAGTAAAAATCAATCCTGTACCACAGAGCAGACCAGTGCTGAGCCAGACACATGCAGACGCAGCAAAGGAAAACACCTGTTACTGTGGTGCTGTAGCAAAGAGACAAGAAATAAAAGAGCCCTCGCACAGTCACTGTACGCCTCCTATTTTGCCTTTTAAAGAGACTCAAGAACTGCTCCTCAGAGCACCCCAGGAAACTCCAGGACTTGTTGTGGGGGAGAGCAGCCTTTCTGCCAGCACATCAGTGTCAGATTCATCACAGAAAAAAGAAGAGCACAATTATTCTCTTTTTGTAACAGACAGTGTGGGTGAGCAGTCGGCCAAAGGAGACCCTGAAGAAGATGAGGAGGATGAGGAAGATATTGAAGATGAGGATCATGATGAAGGATTTGGCAGTGAGCATGAGCTATCTGAAAACGATGATGAGGAAGAAGATTATGAGGATGATAAAGATGATGACATCAGCGATACTTTCTCAGAACCAGGTACCAGCAATGTTGGGGTTTGTTAATACTGAGGTCAATGAACTCATCTGCCAAGAGGGAAAGAATGCTTTTGAATGCTTTGTAATTGGAGATGAACACTTACAATCTGATGAATGTTCAGAATTTATAAGTGCTTTTCACAATGTAATTAATGAAAACTACACAAGGCCTTTGTTTTCCCTGTTTTGGAATAAATGGTAGTCATACAGCAGAAGTCACAATAGACAATACAGAAAATTGAGTTTGTAGCCAAAGGTCATGGAGCAATTACCTGCAATTGTTTTCTCCCTTTTTGTGGTTTGATGAGAGGATGTGCAGAGCTTTCTAGTGCTTCAGTGGGCTGTGCTAAGGTTGTATCTCTTGATAGCTGGCACAAAATCATAGCCTGAGTGAAAGTGTTTCCTAATTATTTAAGTGCTTCTGTGGTTATAGAACCATTTCTCAGTGGTTTTCAATGGTGATATCTGGTGAGTCTTCGAAGAATATGGAATTCTTCTCTTCTGTGAGGAGAAATGGAGCATTAACACCAAAAAGGAAAGCTAACCTTTATCTAGAAGGTAGCAAAGTGGCAGCATTTTATGAAAAGAAAATCCACAGGGACAGGGCTGTAACCAAGTATTAGCTTAATTGTAGAAAGTAGTATTATATTCACATTTTCTAAATGCTCTTTAGTAGAGCGTGAGAATGAAGATATTGAGGCATTTGGCAATGTGCAACACTGAGGGGAAAGAAAAACAGCTGAACGACTCCCTTTTTAAAAGCAGCAGCTTCCCTGAAGCATGCTGTTGTTTGTCACAAAGCACTCTCAGATTAAATTATTTTCTAAGTAGATTTCCTGAGCTGGCGTTAAGCTTGTTAAGTATTGGGCTCTTTATGCTACTTTTTCATGTACACCAGGCATATATGTTAGCATTTTAAAATCTCTCCTCCCTTCTTCTGAATTGAACTCTGTACTGTCTGAGGTCTCAGTAGCTATTAAAGCTCCGTGCTGATCGCTGCGCCACGCTGCGCTTTGCAGCCCACGGAGGTTTGTTGCACAGAGCAGCTGGTAATCTTGAGAAAGAGATGTATGAAAATGCTGGGCTTTCAGTGGTGGAGTTACATTCACTGCTTGCTGTTTGTTCAAATCCTGATGACAAGCTCTCGCCTTCTAAACAAAGGCACGTGCTGCTCTGCAGTAACCAAAGAGCTTGGCTTGCACAAGTCCATGAAGCCTTTCATCTCGAGTACAGTGGTATTATAAGAAAGCATCAGGTGATGTTTTTGATACGTTAGGAGGTAATGTCTCCAGGTCATGGACACATTTAATTATGTCACTCGCACTCTTATGTTTTACCTTTGCAATAGAGGTAAATACTGTGGAGTGAGCTTCTAAAAAAGGGCATGGTTCTGGAATACTTCACCTTTCATGCTTTCACTGAAACCAAAGTCAGTTACTATATTTAGAGTGAAGATAGGACAAAAACTCTGTGTTTGCTGACCTTCTGATATTTTATCTGTATTTTATACACAGATAGCTTTGGTTTATTCTTTTTGTTTGGGGAATGCGTGGCACACTTTCTTAAAGCACTGGAGTGAGTGTTTTCTGAGGAAATACATAGGTACATTGGACTTCAGGGACGTGGGAAAAATAACTAAAAGTGTTAGTGGGTGGTAACAATGCTTGTGTTATTTTTGGGATACAGATTTAGCAGTTTTGGTCCAGCTAATTTGTTATGGCAATGATAAGCCTGGGCCTGTTTCAGCACTTAAACTTTGCTTGCCATTACTGGTATTTTCCCTGTCTAATTTAGTTGTAATATATGTAAGTGACTGCTTTTGCTAACAAGTAGTCCAGTGACTCCAGAAATTAGAGATGCAACAGTTAATCCAGTTGTCAGAAGCTCTGGGGAAGAGAATTAAAGGGAGATGGCCTATAGAGACAAGGAGATGGCATCATGTGAAGTTCTGCTCTGTGTTTGGGTGCTGTGCTGCCAGCTGGGGCTCTGGCAGGGATTTGGTGGAAGTCACGATGGTTAAACAGTAACGAGAAGAGCTTTTTTGGGGTCTGCTTTGGCGGAGTTCTTGTTGCATTTACACTGGTACAGAGCAGAGATGTTGGTCCTGTTCCCTGTCTTTCTTTCAACCCTGGCGAATTTTAATCTGAAACCTTGGGTTGTGAGCAGAGATTTTTAGGAGTAGCTTGCTAAGGGCTTCAAGAGTAAACACAGAAATTGTTTCAGATTTCACAGAAGCTCGTCCAAGAATGCTGTACGATATTTGGTAGGAGGAGATTTCAGGGAGGATGGATGCAGTGCAGAAGAGCTAAATGGATCTGTTGCACTGCTATGTTTGCAGAGTAGGGCAGGACGTTGTGCAGGGGCTGCTCCATGTAACTGTAAAATGGTAGCAGGTCAGTGTTAGACTTGCAAGGCAGGATGCATTAAGTCAATGTAATTCAAATAGCCAACTTAATTATGGCTTGAATAAGCAAACAGGAAGTCTTGATTTTAACCTCATTTTACATTTGTACACATCAGCTCTTAAAGAGATTTGTTTTCATTGATTGGTTTAATTCTGCGTTATCACAAAGTTGGGCTGAATTTATACCTGCCTATATAATGAGTTACATTGCTTGATGTGTTTTGTAGGTGGAAGGTAAGGAAGAGCATTTGGATATTTACGTCAAACAGCATTTGGGTCAAAGAAAACGACAATTAAAAACATCCGTGATACTTGAAACTATATTTAATGTAAATCACCACAATCACTTTGACTCTACAAGAAAAAAAAAGTCTTTTATAAAACACATTTTGCTGATTCATTTTTCCTTTAAAACGCTTTCCTGTCTATAAACCAGAGAATCAAACAAGTTTAGAAGTGGTTGCATCCTTCTGTGTGCCACTCATGGTTGGGTTATGAGCTGAGAGACAGTCAGACCAAAGCAAGACAGTTTGTTTGTTTTCTTTCAGCTGCTTTCTCAAGTGCAAACAGTCTAACTGCATGGACTGTTGTAAAATAAGGAAAGCTTTTAAAATAAAGAAAGCTGCTGCTCAGGGATGGTGCAGAGCTGAAGATATAGGCCCAATGCAGACTGCACGTAGAGTCTGTTCAGTGCTTGGGTTTTCCTGAAGCTTCATCAGTGTATGTGATATTTGAAGTCTGTTATTTTTTAATTATCTGTGAAGTGTGATAAAGCATTTTAGTACAAAAGGCAATGCTGCATATTTTTTCTTACCTTAGCACAGGGTGTATTTGTTTTCTAAAGCATAGGTAGGATTTTAAAAACTATATTCTGTGTTTATACAGGTAGGGTCTAAGCATTTATGCAGTGTCATGATAGTGTCATTACTGCTTCCGTATACTTTAAGAGCAGTTTGTGGTATCAAGTGCACTATAATACATCTCTAAAATCTTGTATAGCTTTATCATGGATCATTTGTCTTCATCCCACTGAAGACATGAAGAAATTGAGCAGGTTGTCTTTAATCCCTTCCATTTTAGATATTCTTTTCTTGTGGAATTGGGTCCATTCCCCATTCCTTCATTCTAATAGAGACGGATAGTGTGATTTATTTCCCAGGGGTATATAAGTTCAAGGTAGAGCTTAAGGTAAAGCAAGAGTTTTGCTTTACTTATTAGCCTTTTGCTAATCCGTCTTTATTTTTTTAATCCACTTCTATTTCAATGCTTTTGATTGAAGATTAATTAAAATGTGGAGGAGAGTTAGGATCATGTTTCTGCTAATTAATGGAGAACACTAAAAGTGGAGGAGTACTTTGCAACAGCTGTTGTCTGTACAGCAGTGAGATGGCGGGGAGAAGAGCAGTGGAGCTCAAGGGGTCAAGAACCAGACGGGGCTCCTGTGCATGAATCATTTGTCTCCATTCAACTGATGAAGCACCATCACTGCCTCGGTGTCTGTCCCTGGTTTTAAAGCAAATACCCAGCGGTAGCTGAGGCTGAAAACCAAGTAGAGGAGATAATGTGATACAGGCCATCTTTTCTTGTTTGAGTTTAACGCTTGGTCCACGGTTAAAAGGCTAGGAACCATCTTATAAACATCACGTGAACGATGCAATGCATTCTTTTAGGGTATGAAAATGATTCTGTGGAGGACTTAAAAGAAATGAGTGCAATAACCTCTCGAAAAAGAGGCAAGCGAAGATACTTCTGGGAGTACAGCGAGCAGCTGACGCCATCCCAGCAGGAAAGGATGCTGCGGCCATCGGAGTGGGACCGAGATACATTACCAAGTAACATGTACCAGAAGAACGGTCTGCACCATGGTAAGAACAGAATCCTAGCTACAAGTCACAGTCTGTCACACTGGCACCTTCAGTAGCCAAGCTTCCCACCTGAAATTGTGATTCTGCTCACAAGATTTGACCGTGAAAATAAATCACTAAAACACTGCAGGTCTGTTGCTCCATTAGCTGAGTTCTGTGCTGTGTCCAAGGAAGGCACAGTGAACGTACAGTAATAACATTCAGTGTGGTTTCTTCCAGAGGAGGTGGATGAATTGAGACTTGTAATTTCCAGAGGCCTCCAGTGGAAACCCCAGGAGTTCAGAATTTTCTCAGTGTGGTACTGTAAACATCAGGGATAGGTCTCATGACTGATACTTGCCCCTGGCTGTTACACAGACTCAGTCTTGGTTTTGTTAAAGTAAGCTGCAAGTGGCCTGAGGTGCAAAGTTCAGGTTAACTGCAGTGTGAACTAAAGGACAGGCAGGCAAAACCTGAAGCTCTCTCCTATTGTTCTTCCCTCCTTGTTCCTCCCACCCATGTCAGTGCCACACAGAGGAGCAGTTACTTTGCTTTTCGGTGAATAAGCTATTTATTTAAGATACCCTCCCAGGAATTTAGCCCAGTCGGTCCAATGGCTGTTTTATTCCCATGACTTTCTGATCACCGACTTGCTCTACTTGAAACACAGCTAACATTATTGAGAACAAGTCACTCACAGGAATAATATTTGTTTTCTTGTCACAGGACATCTTTTGTAGGCTTGTTCCATTTGATTGTGGCTCTAAAGGAACAAAATTAAGCCAGCTTCTCTGATTGTAATGTTATATTCCCTTACAACTGAAAATTATCTTTAACATTGCAGTTTAACTTCAGATAAATGAACAGATTTTTGTATTTATTTTATAGATTTTTTTTTCTGGGAAGGAAACTTTTTTCTTTTTCATGTGCTTGATTTTTACATGCTTATCTTGTAGTCAAATAACAGTGCTTAAAGCCTCTATCACTATTCATTGTTATGAGAGCTTATATCTGTATTTGTTATAGAACAACAGATAAACAGGACTGAAGGACTCAGTCTCACTAGACACTTGTAGGAGCAAGTGCCCTTTAATGGTGCTGAATTATCAGCTCTCTAATGAAGAATTCTGGAGCAGGTTTTGTCAGCTTATTATCACTTGCATGCAAGTTTCTGCAACCACTGGCATTTTTACTAGAAATCTAGAAAAAAACCACAGCAGTAGCAAAAGATCTTAATAAGGATTTTGTCTTGAATGCAAATTTTCTCCATGAAACCAGCTCTTAAATAGCTTCAAATAGATCTAAAGAGGGTTGCCTAGCCTTTATGTGGGCCATCAGTACCAAGTCGCTAGAGCCTCTCTTAATGCAGAACTTTCAGAATAAGATTATTTAGGAATTTAATCAAGTTTACTATCCAAGAGAATATGTTGGCTGAACATATGAAATAGTAAGATGGGGCAAAATGCCTGGCTTTGAACTTGTGATGTACATTTTTCAGCACAGTTGTTTGCATCCTGTCCATCACATTGAAGATATTTCTTGCCCGGCCAGCAGTATTTGCTCTTATCTGATCTGGATGTAATACGAATTGTACAAAGCAGTTTGTCTGGAAATGCTCTTTCTATTGTGAAAGGCCACAGAGATCACATTATGCTCGACCATTCTCTTGTGCCAAACAATGGAACTTAAATTGCACCAAAAATAACACATATCTGAGAACATTTTTTCGCAGGTTTGCATGCATGTTGTGTCACTTGCCACCCAATCTTCTGCATATTCGACACAGGTAAATACGCAGCAAAGAAGTCACGGAGGACTGATGTAGAAGACCTGACTCCCAACCCCAAAAAACTTCTGCAGATTGGTAATGAGCTGCGGAAGCTGAATAAGGTGATCAGTGACCTGACGCCAGTCAGCGAACTTCCCTTAACTGCCAGACCAAGGTCAAGAAAAGAAAAGAACAAGCTGGCTTCCAGGTAACATATTAGTTAACACTCATTGGAGGGGTAAATTTGCATTACTGCAGCCGTGCGAGTAAGGCTAAATTTTGTCTTGAGATCCTGCTTTACTGTGGCAGTCCTTATTGATGGGTTTTTTACCCGTTTATCAAAAAGCAGGGCAACTGGCACTGTGGAGATGTAGTTTACCTGTTCCTTAGCAGGGAATAATATATCTTCACTGGAAGCTGTCTTACTTAGCTGCAGGGCAAATTATTGTTACAGTAGTAAAATCCACAAATGTAAGCAGATACAAGTAGCAGCACGCTTGAAGTGAAGATGAGTGAGTAGATACATGTCTGGGAGCATTGGTTGCTAAGTTGGTGTGGCTAACTGAAACAGATGCTCTTAGTATTCTGGAACATTTGTTAAAATGTTCTAATTCTTCCACTCTTCTTGCTATAGGGCTTGTAGACTAAAGAAGAAAGCCCAGTATGAAGCCAATAAAGTAAAACTCTGGGGTCTCAACACAGAATATGGTAAATACAACTCTTCACATGTTAGTTTTTCTTATGTTCTTAAGGCAAGTCTGTGTTATCAGTGTGTGGACAACTAAGCATCCCTTTTGTTCCTGGGCAAATGCAGTGTATGTCTAACCCAGGCTTTTCTTTGCAGATAATTTGCTGTTTGTGATCAACTCCATTAAACAAGAAATTGTTAATCGAGTGCAGATGCCTAAAGATGATAGAGGAGTCAACATGGAACAAAGGTTGAACATACTTATTAAAGATACTCTTGGTAAGCAGAATATCTAATGTATCCACCTGTATGTGAAGAGGCGTCATCTGTGGTATGATGGATCACAAACAACTCCTGGAATAGAGAAAGGAAGCGCTTCCTCATTACAGCTGTAACCAAACCTTCTCTTTGGTTACTGGCCAGAACGTTCATTCATTGGCTTTGTGTCACTTCCAGGAATGTAAAATGCATGTAATTAATAGTAAACTTACAGTGCATTTTCTTACCCTCTGTTTTCAGGACTTCCTGTAGCTGGACAGACATCAGAATTTGTGAATCAAGTGTTGGAGAAGACTGCAGAAGGAGACCCCACAGGTGGCCTTGTAGGATTACGAATACCAATGTCAAAAGTTTAAGACATGACTTCACCTGTTCTCATTGCTCACATTCTTCCTGTGTCGTCAAGTACTTCACTGTAAATTGCATTCTGGTCTGCATGTCAGTTTAGCATTATGTAAACACTTACAATTAGGTTCCATTATTTTTAAACAACAGCGTAGAAAACAAAAATCAAAGCATGGAATAAAATGCCTAGTAGCATTTTTGGAGCATAAATTAGGTAGTTCTAAAGCTGCTTTGAGATTGCATTCAGAGAGGAGGGTTCTTTTTAAAACTAAGTTCTAGGACCAGACTTACCACTTTTGTTTTAGAAGCAAAACCATATTTTTGCTCGTAAAATTTTTTTAGCCTATGCCAGACGTAGCAGCAGGTTTATGCTCCTAGCAAAACAAGAGGAAGCATTTTTTTTATAAAGGTGACAATTCAGTTCTTTTGTTGTTGTTGTTTTTGTATTTGTTCTCGTTTGCTGTTTTGAAATAATTGGATTTCCTTTGTTCTTAAAAACAGTAAGCTTTCTTTGCAACCATTAACTTGTACATAGCACACGTGGCTTCAGAGCTGGTGTGCCATATAAACTTTAATTTTTCTGAGCTTAATGTAGTATTTAAATGTCTGTGCAAGCAGGAGAAAAAAAAGTATATTCTTTGTGCCTTGTATTTTGAGGGGAGAGCTATCAGTGTAAGCTGGTAAAGTTTTGTATGAAGAAAACCCTGAGGGGAAAAAAACCAAGATGTACAGATGGTGAGATTATAGGTTTTAATGTATTTGTTCCAGCTCTTAAAATTTTTGAATGTATATAGGAATATGTTGAAAATGTAGATATATGCCACAGAGTCTATGTATTGTATAAAAGATGGCTCTAGAAAACTCAATTTCGGTACTTTGGCCGGAAGAAAACCTATACTTGCACATTAATGCGATTGTTTATTTTTGTACCAAAGACAAATGCAACTGATATGGCGAACTGCCAGTCTAAGTAAAGTTTTGCACAGCTTATATGATACTGTACTGAATGTAAAAACAAAAGAAAAAAAAACAAAAAAAAAACAGAAAAAAAAAAAACCTACAAGGTCAGGGTTAGGGATCTTACTGAACTGTGAATTTTTTCGTTTGGGTCCAATTATCTACAGAAGGAGCATCCATACATAACGATCTTATTTTGCTGTTCTCGTAGTTCGCTTCCATGGTAGATAAGTTGGTGGCCGTCTCCGAGTCTTTAAATCTTTTTTCTCTGCACTTACTGTAGGAGATTTTAATATATTTGGATTTTAGTAAGCTATTGGTAAAATAGTTTTCAACTTTGAGAATTTAAAGAAATATTTAGCTTGTTGTAGTATACTTCCAACAAACAACCAAAATAAAATTATTTTTATTGTAATGTGTATATATGTAAAGAGATAAAAGAGCTACAGATATCTAATTCCTTAGTTGCCACTTTTCCAGTTGATGTATTATTATGCATGTGATGTTTCCAAGGATCAACACAGGCTTCAAACAAAACAAGACAAAAAAAAAAAAAAAAAAAAAAAAGTTTATAGACTTTTATATTTTTGTACAGGTATTTCAAAACTAGCTTCTTCAAACTTATATGTGACTTATTCTTGTTAATTCAGTAGTTTCTATGATTGGGAAATATTAACACAGTTCTTATTTGCTCTTGTGCTAATAAGAGTTGGCTTTGTAGTCAGTGTTAACGTACAGATAAAAAGCTTTAGCCCTTGATGAAAGTCCTTTATCTCAAGGCAAGATCATTCTCTGGTTTCATGGACCCCCTTTTCCTCCCCGTTCTTTCTCTCCCTATTTAAAATGACAGAACACTGTTTACTGAAAATAGAAATACCAAATATTTTCAAATGTAGCTGCTGAAAAAAATGCAAAGTCCATGAAGGCTTTCTCCCCACTCCCTTTGGGGAATCTCTCCACTTCGTATCTACTTTGTCTGTGTTTGTACTGTGATTCCTTTTTGTTTATATGTAGGTTATTTTTATATCCAAGCTTGTAAGCTTGTACTATAAAGAAGTCTGTAATAGTGCAGTGAGAGTTGCAGATGAAGGTGGCACTCCTGCCACATGCTGGTGAGTGTGCACACAGCTTACTTTGTATCTAAATATTTTGGAAGACTCAGAAGGGAGGAGGAGGCCAAAATACCACTACTGAGCTGTACAGAAAGTTTTTCCTTCACGAGACTGAACAAATACCCAGAGCAATTTAGGCAAAACTTTGTAAATCCACGTAAGATTTGCAAAATCAGAGTGGACTTTGGGTGTTCTTCTTGCTCTCGCGGTGAGGTGAGAGTCGGCTGCTGCTTTACACAGTGGGTTAGATGTACTCCTATCGTAAGCATTGCCAATGTTACACTTATTCCAGAGATGCATACTGCCCATAAAACCCCGACAAAGAATGTTTCTAGTGAAGATAAGGCCCCGTCTGTGCAAAGATCCGAACAGAGTCGTTCCCTTCTGACGCGCAGCTGCGGCAGCTGAGCTCCTTCTGCTCTATCAGAACCACGTAGGCGAGGCGGCGTTTCTGAGCGTTACGAGCAGTTTTGCAATCAGGTGAAAACTTTTGTGACAAATTGAACTGACAAGGTATCAGAAAGCCCCTGCTGCTCAGAAGTGCTGGGCAAATAGAACTTTATAGCTCTTTATTTTTATCTGCAAACCAGAATATGATTTTGGTCTAGCATTTCAAAGTAGACTTTGAATCTTTAGTGAATTCCATACCCTTGCATTTCAGTGTTTTCTATGTATTATTTTAAGTTAAAGCTTTTGAATAGTTGAGCTTTTTAATGTTGACACTTTATTTTGTACCTATTTATATGTATGTATATCTTAGAAAAGCACTTTGTTTAAAAAGGAAAAAAAAAAAAAAAAAGAAACTGCGTTTTATATGATTCCTGCCACTTGCTGCTAACTCTGGGCTGGTCAGAATGCTGCAGCGATACTTGATATAAATAAAACCTGGCAGTAAAATGTAGAGTACAGATAAGACCTTTTGCTGGTTTAACTTTATCATAAAGGTGACATAGGCAAGCTGTGCAGCTTTACATTTTAACCAGGGGACTCTGTGGCATTTAAACCGTCTAGAAATGGTTGTACTTTAATGCCAGTAACAATCTGCTTCCTCTAGTGTCATTACAATATATACATTTAGTGTATACTTATCACAGACAAAATCTTTTAAGGGTATAAAAACCAACAATGTACATGTTCTGTTTTTTGGCAATTGTGGCATGCGTTTTTGGGTGATCTTTAGAGAAGACCATTTTCTAAAGATTTTCAGTGTTCATACATGGTATGTGGATCTTAATGAAGTCCTGGATTATTTTTTGTTTGTTTGTTTTTGAGTGTAGGCATTGTGAATATTCACTTTTAATCCTATATCCAAAAACAATTATACATCTTTGATTTAACACAAACAGAAGTTCTTCCTTTTTCTGATACACTGGATTCTCTAGGATTTGTTTCCATATTAAAAGCATGCTGTTATAACTGCTCTTGTTAAAATCTCGTCAGTCTGAACTTAGGTGCCACACTTTCTGACTCGATGGACTGCTTGTTCTACTGTACCATGTATGATTCTTGTCCTTTCCTACTTTCTTCATGAGAGATTATGATGTGGCTTTATATTGTGCCTTACTTGTACATCTAGAACTAAATGTTTTTCATTACCCTTGAACTCTTCAAGCCTAACCCCTCCAAAAGCAAATCTGAACTGGTAAAAGCATCCTGAAGAGAGTTTGGATAGATCTATTTTTGTTTCTCTCAATAGCAGTTGTTTTCTATTTATATGGATGACCAGTTTTTGAATGGCCTTGCAGAATGTGGGGGTGCTCTCAAAGGGCATTTTTGAGCCCTAAACCCCTTTTTGCTAACACTTCTTTTATGGTTTGTTGAACACACTTACTGATATTTGGTGAGTTCTTTTCTTGGATGAGAGAGACTTGTTAATAAAACTATTAGGTGTGGGTGGGCTGGATTTTCTTACCACGCCAGCTGAAGCGCGATTTCATGAAGCTTGCATTGCTGCAAAGTTGATGTGAGAGTTGGGCTCAGCTGTGTTCGGTCCCTGATCCTTTCTAGACAGCAGACCCTTTGCCTCTGTTAAATGAAGCTGGGAAAAAAGTCGAAACCAGAAAAATGTAAAATCTGACCGGATGAAGGGTCTGTTAGCTGACCTAAAAACAACCAGACACCTGGTGTCGTTTTTCTTTTATCCAGAAGGGTTCCCACCCCCCCCGCCCAACATTTATCCAGTATTTGCCTTCGTTAATAAAACAGCTTATTCATAAAATACAAAGAATGGATGTGCTTTTTTTTTTTTTTTTCATAAATGGTTTAAATATAGCTATTTTTTAAAGCAAGAGGCTTTATCAGGAAAATTTTAAAGGGTTGTATATAAGTTGCCTTTAACAGAAGTAGCAAATGCAGTTCTGTTCCTCTAACTTGCTTGCTAGTCTTCCTGAAATTCTGTTGAGGCGTAACCAGAGGTGTACCATGAATGTTAGGGTCTGCATTGGGCCTTGAGACCTGAATTTCAAGAATGCATCTAATCATTGTTTTGAAGTTGGAGGCTCCAGTTGGAATTAACTAGTTAAGTGTGCTGCTAGATGTGGTCTTGGCTTATTGACACAGCCATGCCCTGAGCTGAAATCTGTTTTGTTTACCCCAGGGATTGTGTGAAGTACATTTCAGTTACTGCTTCGGTGACTGATTCTTTTTGTAACTGTATTAAGGGCATTAGTATGTTGAGAAAACACCACTCTTGAATATCTCCCAATACAAATTGGGATTCTTAAATGTCATTAATGAAAGATGGCACTTTTAGGCTTTATCTTCTTTGCAATATACGAAAGTATCTTTGTCTGATTTACATTTCACAACATGCCATGTTTTTCCCCAGTGCTTCTCGCATGTAGAAAAGGCGTGTGTGCACTGCATTGCAGCCCTCAGACATCCGTCAACTTCCACAAGAGTAAATGCTGGCAGTGCATTTATTGGCTTTCTAAGGAGCAGTGGAGCCAAAAGTGGAACCAGAACTACCTTAAGCCACGGTGTTTTTTCATAAAATGAAAGGCTTTTTGGAGAACACCAGTGTTCCAAGGTTTTCCTGCGAGTAGTTGCTGGTTACGTGTTTGGGTCAGATTTGAGTGTTATCCATCTTCAGAAGGGAAATTTCTGTGTTGGATTCAGTACTGACAAAAGCACAATCCACCCGAGGAAAACCTTTCGATTAAGCGACCCCGGGAGTAGCATTTAATTGTTGTACTGATCTTTGGCATGGTATGGTCTCGTTTGAGTCAGCTGTCCCTCAGCACGTCTGTAAAACCTCACTGCTCAGTGTCTGTGCTCGGGTGAAGCCGAGGGCTGATGGCACAAGGGGGAAGAAGCAGAACATGGCATCCTGCATCACTGGCTTCCAATGGGAGCACAGAGAAACTCCCATGAAGATCTCGTCTCTGTTAGCAAATAAATTCTCCTGTTGAAAGCATGATCTGTTCAGAGTTGCAATGTTCGATGTCGGTTAATAGCTGTGCAGTTTTTATTATCTTTTTTTTTCGAAGAGGCACAATCCCACGATTGACTTTGTTTACTGTCCCCCTCGATCCCTCGCACTTCTATTCGGACGCAAATTTCATCAATGTACGCGACATCCTTTGTAATTTAAAATAAAAATTGTGGAGGAAACACTGTCTCAAATCATGGCGTATGTTTGTGTGTTGGGGGGCCTGGGGAGCCACGGGGCCTTTTCCGCACTGGAGGACTGGAGGACCCCGCCGCGAAGGGAGGGCTGGGGGGCGCTGGGCGGTGCCAGCAGGGGGCGCTGGGCGGTGCCAGCAGGGGGCGCTCGAGGCCCTGCCGCTCCATTCCCAAGATGGCGGCGGCGGCGGCGGCGACCGGCTCCGTGCCGGTGCGGGTGTGCCACCAGGAGATCGTCAAGTTCGACCTGGAGATCAAGGCGGCCGTGCAGGTAGCGCCGCCCGCGGAACCCCCCTGAGGCGGCGAAACCCTCCGGCGGGGGCTGCGAGGCGCCCGCGGCCCTGCCCTGCCCGCCACGTAAGGCCTCGTGCCGCGCTGACCGGGCCGTTGTATTCCAGGACATCCGGGACTGCCCGGGGCCGCTCAGCGCCCTCACGGAGCTCAACGCTGCGGTGAAGGAGAAATTCCGGCACCTCCGCGGCCGCATCCAGGTGGGGTTGCGCTGCCCGCGGCAAAGCCGGGCTGCCCGCGGGGCCGCTGCCGCCTCGCGCCCCTTCCCTTGGAGCTGCAGGTGGCGGCCGTCCGTCTGATTTCCCGTTACTGCTTTTTGTCCAAGGAGCTGGAACAGATGGCGAGGGAACAAGATAAAGAGTCGGAGAAACAGGCCTTGCTGCAGGAAGTGGAGAACCATAAAAAGCAAATGCTCAGGTAGGCCGTGCTGTTTGTACATGCTCAGACCTCACTGCAGGTGCCCAGTCCTCGGGGGTACCTGCTTTCAGGGCACTCTTTCATATCCTGTTTTGCAAACCCGGTCAGTGACATCGTGCTGCTTTCAGTAAGGCCAAGAGCAGATCTTGGCACAGGTTGCCCAGAGGTGGCGGTGCCCCATCCCAGCAGACACCCGGGGTCAGGCTGGAGGGGCTCTGAGCACTGATGGAGCTGTGGGTATCCCTGTTCATTGAAGGGAGTTGGACCAGATGGCCTTTAAGCAGCCCCTTCCAACTCAGGTGATTTTATGATTCTGTGATCAGGAACAGAAAGAGAAGAGCTCCCATCTCCTTACTGTCTCCTGGCTCTCTGAGCTGGTCTGTCCATTTGAGTGACTAAGCCTGTAATGATACACTTAGGAGAAGAAACAAAAAAAACAATGTATTGTCCCTGTGGTATAATACAGACAAAGTTTATGTACATATGTGGATCTTAGTTATGGTGACCGCTTTGTGAAAGTGGTTGCTGCTTACAGGGTGTTGCCATCACACTACAACATTGTACTCTTGTGATTTCAGCAATCAGGCAGCTTGGAGAAAGGCAAATCTGGCTTGCAAAATTGCTATCGACAACTCTGAGAAAGATCAGCTGCTGCAGGGAAGAGACTCCTTAAGACAAAGGTATTAAAGTGTCCCCTCTGAACGATGTGAGACTTAAATGATGTGGGCCATCAACTAGTACAAATGGCAGTGATGTAGTGTTCTTGAAATGATTGTATTGTACACAGAACATAGCTTTTATTTCAAAGGAGTGCTGTTGTCTATTGTGGAGGCTTAAGCTGCGAAGAATTGTGGTAATTCCAATTTTTTTGTGTTGGCATGTCAAAGCAGAGATGAGGTTGTGATAGACTTCATAATTTTTGTGATCGTCTTTTGTATTAATTCCAGTCAGGGGTGTAAACATGTGATGGATCACTGTGCAAGTTGTTTTCCTTAGTAGAAGTGGATATAAGTATAACTTCTGAATTGAGAAGTTAGTAAATTTGGTGTTGTGGAGCAGCAAGGAGGATAGCTGAGATAATGAAGTGGTAGTTTATATCAGTGCCACCTCATGAAGTTGTGCCATCATGGCTGAATGACTGCCACAACATGAGCTCTGCGAGACTCTGAGCTGCAGTTGTTAAGGCTTACGACTTCAGCATTTTGTGATTTTTCTTTGGCAGTTCAGCAAGGATGATCTCCAGTTCTCGTGCAGAAAAACCTGGTTGTATCTTCTGTATCAAACAGCTGCACATTCCTGCTGTACCAAAGACACTGTTTTATCCCTTATTGCTTTTTCAGAAAGACTACGAAGGAAAGTCTGGCAGAGAGTGCAAGTAACATCACAGAGAGCCTGATGAGCATCAGCAGGATGATGTCACAGCAAGTCCAGCAGAGCGAGGAGACTGTGCAGACCCTGGGTACAGATGTGGTTGGGGTTTGGGGTGTGGGTTGGGTGACTGAGGAACCTTTCAGCTGTTCTGTTAGGGTGAGGAGAGCCAAACTGTTGTGACGTAGAGCATAGTGGAAATATACATTGCTGTAGGAGAACTTGCTGTGATGGTAATTGGAGGATTGTCCAGCAGAACTCCTCTAACGTTTGAACAGAAATGGAAAATACATTGCATGAGGTTTTTTTGCTGGAGTTTTTGTTTAATGTTTGTTTGTGGATAACGAGGAAGGGGCACATTGAGGAACTCAGTTTTATATAAAAGTAATTTTAAAAGCAGCGTGAGTTCACACAATGCTAACAGTGTGTATGGTGTTACTCTGTGCTACTGTCCTGACATGCATTTGGCAACAGAGAAGAAAAGAGCACAGGTACAAGTTCAGATGTAGAGGAAACAGCCTGGCTAGGAAGGCTGTTTTCACCCCTTCTCCAGCTGGGATGACTAAGAGATGAGGCAGTTGAGTGACTTGAACCCCAAGGTCCCTTGTTCTGTCCACAGTGCATCATGAACTGTGAAACCAAGATTTTTCTCAGTTATTTGGCTTAGACTCCTAAGAAGATAAATCAAGTGACCTCTCAAAATTGGTGATTCAGGAACCTTTTGGTTCTCTGTTGCCTGGGCTTCTAACTAGCTGTGCTGTTGAGCAGAAGAGAGAGCAGTGTAAAGCCTGGGATAAATGCCACAGCTTTCGCCCTCCTCTGGGGGTTTTCTGACCCCCTCTGAGGATGGCAGCTGGGCACAGTTTGTTCGTACAGAAGCAGCATGTTTCTTCTCTCGTTAAAAAGACAGTTTGGCAGACACTTTGTCACCCTGCTTCTAACTGAGCAGTGCTTGGAGTTTATCGAGGGAAAGATCCTTTACAAAACCCAGCTGCAGGTTCTGAATCAGCAGTAACCATTTCCTTTTTTTCTGGGCAAGCCCTACAGTGCGTGCGTGCTGCTGGGAGGCTTTGCTTTGTCATCAGCGATGGAAGCAGCAGGTTTTCTATTTTCACTTAGACAAAATGTCTCTTTAAGGTCGGACATAATGGTTTGCAAAATGCTGCAGAAGTACTTCCACTACGCTTGTTTTGATGAAGCAGGCAGCATAGAGGAAGTTTGAGCCTTCTTTATTCAATAATCAGCGTGGAATGATACACCAGCACTCGCTCTGTGTGCAGTCTGTTATGGAAGAGAAAGGGAACTCCTGGACTTTCGCTTTCTGTCCTTCAGCAATTTGAAAGGAAGGCTGCTGTGTTTCAGGGATTTGCTTGGTTAGTTGGCTGTTTTCTCAGGGAAAACAAAGCTGGAAAGGACCAATGTTCCATCTTGCTGTTTTGGCATACTCTCACATTCTGTCTTTAATCAAGACTGATTAATATCCTTTTCTTCTGTAGTTGATTTTCTCTTTTGGAGAAGAAAAACGAACAAATAAAAAGAACTGTTGTCAGAAAGGATAACCATCAATTCGTTCAGAATTTTCAAACAGAATAATGAAGCTCGTGCTGTTCCGTGCTGCTTTTTCTCTCTCTTTAACCCCAGCTGATTCATGCTGGTTTACTGCTCTGGCTTGGGCAAAACGTTTTGCTTGTCCATTGGGTTTGTTCACATACTGTCTGCTGCTGCTGCTGCTAGAGCTGATGCTGGCTGTGATGGCGATTCCTTTCTCTTAAATCAACGGTTCTAGCAGCATTCTTATTTCACTCTGCTTTCAGAGAGCTTTCAGGTAGCACTGTCTTGGTTCATAAAACCGGATTTGGTCTGTAACCTAAAAATTAAAGATTGAATAGTAGGGCCAGGGGCCTGTAAGCCGTTCATTACTTGTATTTTGCTTTACATCTTTCCCTGTCAGATCAGGACTATTTGTGGATGCTTATGCAAGAGCACAGTGTGTGTTTGCCTTAGCCATGAATTTGATCCAGAAGGATCTCACGGGCACTATCCGTATTGCCAGAAGCTGCATGCTTACATCCTATGACAGGTATATTTGAAACACAACCAGCTCAATCTTTTTCTTTTTCTTTTTTTTTTTGTCCATTTCAGCCAATTCTTCACGAACCATCCTGGAAGCAAATGAAGAATTTAAGTCCATGTCTGGGACGATTCAGCTGGGGCGAAAGCTGATAACGAAGTACAACCGCAGGGAGCTGACTGACAAGCTGCTCATCTTCCTCGCCCTTGCCTTATTTCTGGCCACTGTGCTTTATATTTTGAAAAAAAGACTCTTCCCATTCTTGTAAAATCCTGAAGTTAAACTGGACTGTTATGAAAGATCAGAAAGGGATAGTGTAATACTGTTGGGCTTATTAGAAAAGGGATATTGCAATAGCTGACAGAGCATTCGAGTGACTTCACAGTGTCCCTATGGAGCTCACAAGAAGCTGCCAAAGAAGAGCTTAAATGATCACAGGATGGGAAGAAGTGGTTGGATGGAGGTGTGGAGAGAAGAAGCTCTGATCTGCCTGTGGGTTTGGTGTCCAGACAGGCACTGGAGGAGCTGTGCACTCAGAGGTGCTGCTCTTACCTCATCCTTTCTTCACTTTGCCATGAAATTTACTTTTGTCTTTGGCTTGAAGTGGAAGCTGCATTGATACCCAAGTGCAGGGTGCTGAAAACAAGCAGAAGGATGGAAGGGAGAAACACACATACATTCCATGAATAAACTATTTATTGTATCTGTGTAAGCTGGGTTTTGTTTAAGAACAAAGTGTAATGGATTGAAAGAGCCAAAATAACTTCCATGGAGAATTTATGCTTGCAGCAGTGGGTGCTTCTGGGATGGTTTTTCCAGGAGTGTAGCACACTTGCTTTGTTCCCTGGTGATGGGAGGACTGACCAAAGCAAAAACGGAAGCCTAATTTCTGACTATTAATTCATGCAGTGTTGGAGAATGATGTGGTTAACCTGTTGAAATCCAGAGCCTTTTTTCCCTTTATGTATGATTCCATGAAACAGTTTCGATTTGCAAAGCACAGACAAATTCTGCATTTGAACATTTTTCTGAAAGTTGGTATTTTTCTCAGTAAAATCTTCTGCAGTGACTGCTTTTCCTATCTCTTGTGCTCCCATGCTGGGGTTTGATTTGATGCAATAACATAAATACCAACATACAATTTGTAGTACCAGATGAGCACTGCAGCATTCTTAAAACCGCTGTCACCTTCCTCTAATGAAATGGGATCACTGCTTTTTCAGGGCTGACCAGTAACATTGGCTTTCTCTTTACAGAGTTCTCATGGAATGGTTAAATACTGCTTTAATGTAGCTGCTAAAAGTAAACTTTTAAAAGGCAATGCTATTAAGAAGTATGGCAATAACATCTCAATAGCACATTCAGAGAGAATAGGTGGCTACTGGGTTGTCTTATCATTGTAGTGCTGGTTTTTCTAGGTCTTACCAGTGGTACAGTGCACCTTTTCACCAGCAGCTGCTTCAAGCTTAGTTAAATAAGTGAGGAGTGGTAGATTGTAGTATTCCTAACCACTGTGCTGGACACAGTAAAATTGCTTGTGTTCATGGGCATGAACAGTAGAAGCTGGATTTTATTATCTAGGTCAAAATTCGGGCCTCTGCATGAAGAGTTAGAATGTCTGAGCCTTTCTTCCTAATGCAGTAAAAGGGATTTGGAAACCTTTGCCCTAGGCCTGGTACATCCCATAGAGGGCAGTGCTGCGTGTCAGCCGTGAGCGTTTTCTGGCTCTGGCACTCCGTCCCGTGACAGCCAGGCTAGGCACGGTGCTCGTGGCTCTTTCTCTATCATTTATTCATCATATTTCAGTGCAGCCTTCCTTATAGCCTCTCCAGAGATGCAGAGATGCAAAGATTGAAATAAAGTGAAAATATCCATGTTGCAATTTGGGTAAGACAAATTACTCTGTTTAAAGAAAGATCCGTTAACAAAAAGTCAGTAAATGTGGGTATTTTGGTAACATTAAAGCCTTGCTTTGTAACAAGTCTGACAAATAGACTGCTAAGCAAGGAAAGCAGTGCCATCCACGGGTTGGGGCTGCAATGGAGCAGTTCCATCCAGTGTGGCATTCGTACATAGCGCCTCCAGCATCAGGATGGAACCTTCTCACCCCTTTGTCCTTCTTGCACAGGTGTGCAAAAACCTCTGTGTGCAGCGTGGACTCTGTCCTCCAGCCTTGGAAAGTCTCTAAATAACACTAAAACATAATTTAGATAATAATTACATCTCAAGTAATGATGAGCAATGCAGTTTTATGCAACTTTTTTCTGCTATTTTCTACTTGCAGGCCAGCTGTAGCAGTGCTGTTCTGTGTTTTCCAGCCCGATCTCTCAGAGATGCAGTACCTGCAGGCAGTCAGCCCCAGCTGCCTCACTGTTTCCTCCCTGGTGTGGATGCAATACAAAAATAGGTCGTTGCTAATCTCTGAGATACCGGGACGCTAAGCAGATGCTAGAGCTGTGCTGGAAGCAGCAATGCAGTGTGACTGCCTGCAGGAAGTTTCACTTGCTTTATCTCGGCTACGTGCTCCCATCAGAACATAGATGGACCTTAGAAATAAAGAAGCAGCCTTCTCGTGGTGCTGAGTTTGAGTGCACTGTTTTGATGGGATGGTTGCTACCACCAGGCTTTGCGAAGGAGCGGTTTGGGGGAGTTGAGTGCATTAGTGAGCATCTTGTTCTTTTCTCTGTTTTTGCATTGCTGAAATTTTAGCTTTCAGACATGACTTGCTGGAGCCCACTGAGAACAAAAAATAACTGCTAAGGACCCCCATGACATTTATTTTCTGTCACATCCAGATTTCATTAGAAAAACCCCAGTCCTTTTGTAAATATAACTACCTGCATAAACTGACTTTAAATTTACTGTCTATAGAGACAAGCAAAATAATTGGGGAAAAAAAAAGCCAAAGGCAACAACTTTTTGGGGGAGAGGAGAAGCAGCTTCACCAAGGACCCTGGGGTGATTTGGCAGCATTTGGTACTTGATCTGTTCCTTCCATAGGGAGCCAGGGGCATCCAGCCTCCTGCTGGGCCACAGTCCTGGAAACAAAGAAAGTGAAGGTAGTGAGTTAAAAGTTATTTCTCCTCTGAAGGAAGAGGGGTGTTTTGGGCAAACATCATCTGCAGCACGTGGGATCAGTGGTGCCTCAGTGTGCACCTGGGATTGGTACTGGAGCAGAGTGGGTTGGTGCTGCAATCAGCACATATTGCCCACAGCTGGGGATGCTCTGACATCATCCCTCCAGTCTGCAGTATGGTATCCTGCTACAGACCTCTCTTCTGGCCTGAAGGTAGGCGTTTGTGCCTTGTTTTTCTCAGGAATGAAATGGGAGTGGTGGTAGGAGGCTTTTGTTGTCTGTTATTTGTGATGTTGGTTCAGTAACTGGGGAAGGTTAGCCTTGTGTGGCTCTTCTGTGTCTGAAGAAGGGTTCTGTTTGTACCTCCAGCCTTCTGGGCAGTGGATGGTCTTGATGGTCACAGGATGATGTCTCAGGGCCTTGCTGCCTCTGGTTGTACTGTGGAAAGTAAAAGAAAGCTGGTATTGCAGCAATTTATTTGAGAGGCATGGTGTTAACCAAGGCACTTGACCCTGCAGGCTTACCCTGCAAAGCATAGCAGAAGCTCTGCGGATGGTGAGGACAGGCTTCCTTCTTCCCTGGGGATCATGGGTTGGAGTGCTGCTGAAACTGGAGTCGGGGGGGAACTCTGGAATAAGAAAGGAAAAGGTTTCAGAGCCGTGGTTTCTTTGTATGATGCTATGTGAACGTGGACGCCTCAACTCACCTTCAGTCCCTTTTAAGAGGCATTAATTTTGGTGTCAGATGAGCTGGTGCTTGGGCATGCTGTTAATGCGTGAAGGTACTGATGTGACAGAGTTGCTGCCAGTGGTTCAACATAAGTGAATGCCACCAGTAGTGCTCCTGGTGCTCTCTGGACCGTAGCTTTTCCCCAGGCAGAACCTGCCAGATGTGGTGATTGTAAGCTCAGTGGTGGATTTCATTTCCAAACAGTTACAGCTAAAAAAACGTTTTTTCTTCCAAGAGTAATACTTCTTTGAAACAAAGATCATGTAACTGCTATGAGCTTAAAAAGAGACTGAAATGTCCTTGCCTTGCAGTATGGGGGGCTGAGGCAGGCAGCTGGCAGCAATCAGACAGCTGTGTTAATGAGCCTCATTAAAGGTGCAGCTTCCAGCCCAGCAGGGGTTGGAGTCATTTGGAGGACAATAGTGATTGGTTGTGCTGGGGCAATTGAGGATTGGGCAGTTCTGATGGTTTGGCAGGTTGAGAAGCAACTTGTTTTTAGAAGTTTGCTGGTTAGTGAGTTTAATTACAGAATTGGCATGATGAAATAGTACTAATAAACGTGTTGCAAGCAGACAGTGGTAGTGGTTAAATGTGAACCTGAGGGAAATGAATGGAAATTATTTTAATGCACAGTGGAACTGTGCTGGGAGGACTTATTTGATTTGTAAGCCTTTGACATTTGTTATAGCATCAGCAAATACAGGAACGTTGCAAGATAACTGCAAAGATGAATGAGGAACGTAATCTCTTTTCCCTTTCTAAGAATTACGGTGAAATGAAGTGTGTATTTGAACTTCCCCTTTCAAAATGCTTTCCACATAACTGGCTTTACCAAAATGGAAGGGTGAATTCATAGCTTGGAAGTTTCTAAAAATGTCTCTGCCAAATGCATGTGGCTGCTATCGCATGCCAAGTGGTCCAGAGTGAGCCAGGCTGGAATCTCTGGGGGCTGAGAATATCCAGGGGGCATGTGCATGCTTGTCTGCAAGTATGTTGGGCTCTTCTTTTGAAGGGGGGAAAAACAGCTAAAAGTATTTGTGATGGTGTGATCCCACTGCAAGGGAAATCTAAAGCAAATATTTTAATGAGATGTGGTGCCTTCGTGATTCTATGTTGCTGTAAGGTGGGCTGAGCTCCACACAGGAGTGGTGCCTGAGTCTTGTGCCTCTGTTCCTCAAAAGTGAGGAAAGAGCTCCCCAGGCAAGCAGCAGATGCTGGGCACAGAGGTGCTCTGCTCTGCTGGCACACACTGACAGCTGCAGCATGGGCTGCTCCTTCTGCTCTGGGGGCAAGGGCTCGGTACCCCCAGTGATTTCTTCTGGGTGAAGATGGTTTGATGCAATTCTGTATTTGAGGACAGTCCTTGAGAAAAGGAGCTAATCTTCAAGAAGCAGCTTTAATAGGGCTGGAAGGTTGCTGCTGCTCAGCTTCCCTGGTTGTCTGTGTTTCACGGTCTCAGAGTGGTGGAGGTTGGGGCCACCTCTGTAGGTTACAGGTCTTGCCCCTGTGCCAATAGGGCCACCTGCAGCCATGTCTGGCGGTTTCTAAAGGTCTCCAGGAAGGAGTATCTGTGAGTCCTCTGGGCAGCCTCTCAGTGCTCCATCACCTGCACAATGAAGGAGTCTGTACTGATGTTCAGAGGAGCATTATGTTCTCACACTCATTGCTCTTGTCCTAGCACTGAGTGCCACAGCGAAGAGCCTGGCTCTGCTCTCTGCACCTTCCTTTGGGTGTTCCTGTGCATCGACGGGATCCCTCTGGCCCTTTTGTTCTCAAGGCTGAACGGTCTCAATCTCTATCCAATTGCATCCAGTCCTCATTTGTAGTACAAATAATGGTATTTTTGGCAACAGCTGAAAAACAAGTTCAGCTTAAGAGGTGGAAAAAGCCTGTGTTCA